GGATGGTAGGAGGCTAGTCCCGGGCATCCCTTCTTACCACCCTGCCTAATCCCCTGGCTCCCTCACCCCACCACTCCTTACTTACCTGGGCCCACAAAAGGAGGGCCAACCATGGGAGAAACCACTGTGGCTGCAGCGGCTGCCCGGGCCTCCAAAGACTGTTGGACCTGTTGGGGAGGAGGTTGGGGTGAGGGGCCTGACTCAGTGCTCTCAAACTGCCCTGGCTGGCTTACCCTGGGAGGTCAAGGGTTTTATTCTTTGCACTCTGTGTGGGGCTGGCCATGTGTCAACCTTTAGGTCTCGGCTAAAATGGCGCTTTTCGGGAGGCTTTTGAGATGACACTACCTAAAGCTGTCCTCAGCCCCTCCCAGTAGCAACTTCTCTCACCATCCTGTTGTTTCATCTGCCCTATACCACTTAGCACTATTTGAAATTATGTCCAGCCTGTCCTCCCCATCTCCCATGCCACTACCCTGGTCGAAGCCACCAATGTCTCTTGCCTAGATCATTACAGTAGCCTCTTTAGTCTCCTTGATTCTGCCCTTGTCCCCTACAATCTGTTCTCCAAACACAGCCAGAGCAATCCTGTTAACATTTAAGTTGGACCATATCTGTCTACGCTTTGCTCAAAACCTTTCAATGGCTCCTCATCTCAGAGTGAAAACCAAGGTCCTGATGGTGGCCCACAAGGCCCTACCCGATCCGGTCGCGATCACCTCTCTGTCCTCATTTCTGCCCACACTCCCCCTTGCTCACTGCACTCCAGCCATACTGTTCTCCCTGCTGGTCCTTGAACATGTCAGGTACACACCTGCTTCATGGCTCTTGCACTAGCAGGCCTCTCTAGTGGCAGTACTCTTTCTCTAGATATCTGCATGGTTCCCTCCATCATGTCCTTTATATCTTTGCTTAAATGTCACCTCCTCAGAAAGGCCTTCCCTGACTGCGCTGATAAACCTCTGCCCTTCTGACTGTACTCTGACCTGTCTCTTTCCAGTAAAATGTAAACTCCAAAAAGTTAGTGATTGTTGTTCTTTGTTTTGTTCTTTGCTACACGCCTAAGGCCTAGAAGAGTGCCTGGTGCATAGAAGACACCCAATAATTATTTGTTGACAGAGTGAACACGTTTCATTTACTTGTTTTCTTTTTAGTAGTGTCTCGCTACTAGTTATGTATAGCTAGCTATTGAGCACTTGAATGTGACTAATGAGAATGAGGAACTATTTAACTTAAGTAAACATTTAAAATAAATATGGAACATCCCCATCATTGCATAAAGTTCTACTGGGCAACATGCTCTAGAATATAAGCTCCCAAAGGGCAGAAATATTGTTTGTCTTAGACATCACTGTGTCCTCAGCACCTGGCACAGAAAGCATTAAATTGTCATGCAAATGAATCAACAAGTCAACATGTCAATAGCTCTCTGTATTCAAGCACTGAGTTCGAAGCATTGTGCTCTCTGACTTTTATGCCTTAGCTCAGACGTACCTGCTGGTAAGTGTTGGTGGCAATAATTGGGCGGATCACAGGAGCTGCTGGGACTTGCATCGCTTCTACCGTGGGGACCGCGGGCACAGCAGTTGGGATTCCGGTTACCGGGGCCCCCAGAACTTCCTGCTCAAACCTAGGGGAGCAGGAGAGACACCACAGCTCAGGACCTTGCACCAAGCTTGGAACGCTGGCTATACCGTGACAGCACCTTCACCCTTGCCAACTTCTCCTGACGCCCGCCCCCGCAACCCCGAAGGTCCCATTTCCCCATGATAGAGCCATATGTCGGGCATATCGCGGCCTGGAGGCTCCAGGGATCGGTGGCTCTGGCTCAGGGATGGCTTTTAACGCGCCCTATCGCGGGCCTTACAGGGCCATTTCCGCCTCCATCTCTTTCAGGCGTTCCTCGCCGCTCTTGCCCGGGATGCCGGCGCCAGGGCCCTGGACCACAGGTCCTCCTGCACCCGGAAGTCCCGGTGCCTGCCCGGCCCCGGCCATCGCTGCTGCCTTCGCTGTCGCTGCTCCTGCTGCCTCGACTCCACCGCCTCCGCCGGTTCCACGGTCCACTGTCTTCGTCAGTATAGGCGCCCACCGATGACATAAGGCGAAAGCTACCGGCACCAGTGCACGACGTCATATGCCAACAAGGGCTGCCTTTAGAACAAGGGCCAATGATAATCTGGCCACACCCGGAGGGCCCACCCAAGGAGGAATCTAGGCCAATCAGAGTGTTGAAAAACCGAACCAACGGAAGAACCTGGGTGCCGCTCGGTGTCGCGAAGGCCTTTACGGAGGACCGTATGCAAGTGAGGTCTCTGTAGTCAGTTGGTCCCGTCCCTAAAGCCGAAACTGGACCTTTGAGACTCGGTAAAGCTCGGAGACCTCTCCAGTGCCACCGCGAGGCCCCTTCCAGAAATTTTAAAACACACTTAGGTCCCCATCAGCCCAGAGTTGGACGAGGCTGGAGACAACTGGGGACCGTGGACTTCCGCTTTGGGGTAAACAGACACGCTACCAGTCAGTGACTCCCAGAAAGATTAGACATGATGCGGGAAACTCAGAGGAGGCGCTGACCCAGGCTTCTTGGAGGACATGACTGCTGAAGACTTTCGCTAGATGAAAACGGGAGCGATATTCTGGATAGGAGGAATAAGTAGTTCACGCAAAGGCCAAGAGACAGTAGTCAGGCGGCAACTCAAGGTCTCTGTGTCTTTTCTTGTGACACAGCTGACCCCTCCTTTTTTTTTTGGTAGTCCTCAAAACGTTTTGTTATAAATATTTTAAACAACATGCAACAGTAGAGAGAATAATATAACGAACCTCCACTTCCTTCTCAACAATTACTAGTATTCTACCCTCCTTGTTTCATCTATTCTACTTTTTATTTTTTTAGGGAAGTATATTAAATTCCAGCCATCCATCAATTCATGCTTCATGGTGTCTCTATAACAGTTAAGGACTATTTAAAAGAAAATAAAAACATTTTCAAACCCAAGAAAATGAATTTCTTAGTATCATCTAACACCCAGACTGTTCAGTTTCCCCTGCCTCAAAATGTCTTCATACAATAGTGTGAAACCAGGATCCAAATAGGATCCACACATTGTGTTTGATTGGTTGGTCTCTTTTTTTCTGTCAAAACAATTTTATTGGCTGCCTTGGTTTCTTGAAGTCCTGGTCTGAATCAGCACAAATGAATGCTTTGTTAAGATTCTGGCTTTTGTTTGCGTCTGTGCTAGAGATGTGATAAAAAGAGAATGGGAAGCCTTTTTTAAAAACATTGTTAACTAGAGTTAATATTTTATCCAAATTTCCTTAGTGTTTACCTAATCTCTTCTCTTAGAGCATTCCAACCAGGATACCAAGTTACAGTTAATTTTGTTTCCTTATGTTTCTCTGCTTGTGGCAATTTCTTACACTTCCCTTGTTTTTCATGACTTTGGCAGTTTTGATGAGTATTGGTCAGGTCTTTTGTAGAATGTTCCTCATTTGGGATCTTTCTGATGTTTTTCTCAGGATTACCTGTGAAGTTTCTTTCACCAAATTAAACCTAAATCCTGACTGGGATTATGAATTTTTTTGGGAAAAGACCACAGAAGTAAAGCGCAATTCCCATCCTATTAAGCATACATACTATCAACATGACTTATCACTGTTGATGTCAACTTTGATCTCCTGGGTAAGGTAGCGTTTGTCAGGTTTCTCCACTATAAAGTTACTTAAAAAAAAACCTCCCTTTTCATGTTCTTTAGAAGGAAGTCATTATGCGTGGGCCCACTCCTTGAGAGTGAGGTATCTCCATAAATTATTTGTAATTCTGCACAGGGGATTTGCTTAGTCTTCTCCCTTTAGTAAATAATTTGTATCAGTATGGACACATGGATGTTACACTTTGGGTTATAATTCCATACTACTACATTTTGCTCAAATTGTTACAGTTTTAAAATCTTGTCTTTTTTAATCTACACATTTCCTTCCCAGCTTTTTCTCCCTTTCTTCCTCCCTCCCTCTTTCTTCTTCTCCCTCCCCACTTTTGGGCCTTGTGTTTGTTGAAGAAACTGGATTAGTTGTCCTATAGGATGTCTCACGTTTTGGATTTAACTAATTACAGTGCACGGTTTCCCTTGTTCCTCACTGCCCCCTCCCCTTTTCTTATATATTGTAGTGATAGCTTGATTGGATTTAGGTTTAATTTGGTGAAGAATACTTCATAGGTAATCCTGTTGCAATAAATATCCATTGTATGCTATCAGCATATGCCTGGTTGTCCTCCTTTGGTGATATCACGATTGATCAGCAGTGTCATCTGTTCTATTTTAAGAAGCCCAATCAACCTTACCAGTAATAGTTTTAGCAGACCTTAACCTGTATCTATTACTTCATTAATGTATGGAAAATAGTGGGTTTTGAATTTTATCATTCTCTTTGCAATTATTAGTGATTCTTTTAAATAATTTCTTCCTCGTCATGACTTTAATTACTTGTTCACATGCAGGAAAGACAGAGAACATGTTTCCCTATTTTATGAAAAAAATTTTCAAAATGAGTTGGTTCATAGTTCAAAGGTGACCAATGAGGTATGTGTGTATATGTATCAATATAAACTTATACAGTAAGTCCCCAATTTACGAACATTCGAGTTGCAAACTTTTACAGATACAAACGGACCTCGAATTATGAACATTTGTAGATGCGAACAAATCAAATTACAGAAGTAGCTCACGTGTCTGCTGGACACTGTCACAGTTGTGCTGCTGTGTGCTTCCTGTACAGTACTACAGTGCTCAATCAGAGCCCAGGGTGTCCGGAAGCAAGAGGAAAAGCAGTGGTGATGTGGAGGGGACTCCTTGGAAGCGCAAAGACTCACTTTGTCGGACCTACGAACGAATCCGACTTAACGTTCTCCTGGAACGGAACTTGTTCGTAAGTCGGGGACTTACTGTATTTCAAACATATTTGATGTGCTTCAAATCATTGCATTCATCCTTATTGCTGCTCAAAATCTTCGGCTAGTGGCAGTCCCTTCAGATTAACTCAGTTCTTTTGACTCAATCCCAGCAGTCTTGGAGGACTTCCTTGCTCTCTGGCACAAGATGCCCCATACTCACTTTGTACACTTCCTGTTCCAGACCTGAAATCAGCTGTTTTCCCAAGAATCCCTGGTTCCTTCTAGTCAGAAATGGTAATTAGGGACGACAACCTGGGCACTAGGGTTGCTCACTAGTACCAGTTATCATTCTATCTAGACCTTTTCTGTGGACTTTGCGAGGGAAATATGTATTTTTAGAAAGACGCAGGAGTTCATTCTGGTATTTCCAATTCAAATGAAAGATTATGAGGTTTTTACTTCTTTGATTTTATTAAAAATCTTGGTTTCCAGTAACATTAGCAAAGCTACTTCTTTGCTTTGGTCTAATATATAATTTTAAAATATAGTCTCAAATATGTAATATATTTTTTCTAAATGAAAATACCAGTATTATGAACAGTAAGACTACTGACTGCAGTTTAAGATTTCATTGCAGTTCTTTTTCTCTTGGGATCTACATACCACTGGAGGCATCAAATGAAACCACTGTGTTTTAACCTGAAACAATTCTTATCTAAAACAGTTGTGCCACCAACTTCATATAGAATTAGGTTCATTTATTTCCATGTTTTCAATTTTTAAGGATTTCTTTCTTTTTTCTTTTTCTCGTTGTTTAAAATGAGCAGATGTTTCCACAGCCAAAAGTATGAAACTGTACATTCAGAGATGTTGGGCTTCCATCCCTCTCCTTTCTATCTTATTGTTTCCTGGCCTGAACTATTTGAAAGTAAGTTGCAGATATCATCACCCTTAATACTTCAACACATCCTCTAAGAATATTCTCCCACATCACCACAAAACCATTATCTCACCAAAGAAATTTAACAAAAATACAATAATAGTCTGTAATATACAAAATTCCCATATTCAAATTTTCCCAGTTGTCCCCAAAATTTACTTTAAAGCACATTTTTAAAAATCTGTGATTCAACCAAGATCCCACATTGCATTTGGTTGTCATGTCTCTTTTAATCTGAATCAGTCCCCACCCTACCCCCACTGACCTTCTGAAGAATATGGTCTAGTTGATTCGTACGAGGTCCCACAACTTACATTTCACCCAGTATATCTTTGGGATAGATTCCTAGCAGTGGGGTTGTTTGGGCAATGACTAAATGCCTGTGTAGTTTTGCTGGAGATTTTTACTGATGTACTGGAGTGCTATTTTCCCATAGTCTTGTCAACAGAGTGAGCTGCCAAAATTTTGGGTTTCCTTTTTCCCAGTCTGATAGATGAGAAATGTATCGAAGTGTGGTCCAATTTGCTTTTCTCTTATGATTGAGTTTGAGCATATGTTCTGAAAATTGTCCATGCCATATATTTTGCCCATTTTCCTATGGACTTGGGAGTTTTTCTTTTCCACTTTGATATTATACACGTGTGTGCATACACATACATCCCTTTCGGGTATAAGTTGCAAAAATTTATTCCCAATTTGTCATTTCTTTTTACTTTTTTTTTTGCCAAAATGTAAAAAGTTTGTTTTTGTCAATACTTCCCCTTATTGCATCTGTGTTTTGACTCATATTTCAGAGAGTTTGCCCAACTTCTAGTTTACAGAGGAATTCACCTTCACGGATCTCACATTCTGTTTGAGGGGAACAATGAGAGATAAAGTAAAACACAGCATGTTAGAAGATGAGATGTGCTACGGAGAAAAATGGAGCAGGGAGTGGGGAAAGGACCCCCATATTCAATAGGGAGGTGGGGGTTGAGAGCCGAGATGAAAAAAGGGAGACAGGGGAGCACTAAGGTGGCACATAGGAAAGCATATGTATAAAGACTGAGTAAGAGCAGCCAGGGATGGGAAGAGAACTGGGAGAGTGAGAGTGCTCTGGAGGCCCAGAGAGGAGCTGTGAGAAGCGAGGTGGAAAGCTAGGTTCAAGATCACAAAAATATCAGATCTACCTAACTTATTAACTTACTGCAACCCCAATAAAACTCCCATCTGTGTTTGTGTTTATTCTGGAACCAGGCAAGTTGGGTATAAAGTTCATTTCGTTTGGGAGAAAACATTAGCAAGAAGAGACAGGAAAACCTTGAAAAATAACGATGACAACCAGCCATGTCAGATACTAAAATGTATTACAAAGCCTGTATAATTAAAACAAAGTGGGGATGACACACGCAGTTCAATCAGACAGCTTGGCGAGAATCCAAAGACAGCCCAATTACTCATGGAATGAGTAGTGTGTGAAAAGGTGGCATCTCAGGTCATCTAAAACATTATATAAAGCTTAGGTGGGTCAAGTTTCACTTTATAAACTGAATAATTCAGACAGTGAAATGTACAGACCTAAAAAGTACAGCTAGATGAGTTCTGACAAACCCATACACCTGTGTAACTCCACCATTCTAAAAACATACAGTTGATCCTTGAACAATACAGGTTTGAACTGTGCAGATCCACTTATATGCAGATTTTAAAAAATAAATAATACAGTATTGTACTGTAAATGTATTTTCTTTTCCTTATTTTAGCATTTTTTTCTCTAGCTTACTTGTTTTTGTTGTTTTTTAAATACGGAACGCTTCATGAATTTGCATGTCATCCTTGTGCAGGGGCCATGCTAATCATCTCTGTATCATTCCAATTTTAGTATATGTGCTGCCAAAGCGAGCACACTTTAGTTAAGTTTTGAGGGCGTCAAAAGTTATATGCGGATTTTCAATTGGGTGGGCGTCGGCACCCCTTACCCTCCGCCTTGTTCAACGGTCAACTGTAATACATTTCCCACTCTAGAAAGTTTCCTTGTCTTCTCCTTGGTTGATCCCTGTCGCCCACCATTCCTTCACAGGCAACAACCACTGCTCTTGAGTATTTTAATAAGTGCTATTGGGATATATGTAAAGTAAGACAAAAATTGGATCCATTTGCATAAATTCCAAATGGCTTAGAGATTTAAGTGTAAAAACGAAGCTATAAAAACTAGGGGCCGGCCGAGTGGCTCAGTTGGTTAAGAGCTCGCTCAAGAGTTTGAGCTCTAAGCAACAGCAGTTCGAGTCCAGCCCGAGCTGAGCAGCCGCTGAGCTGCCAACAGGTGGCAGGATGGCTCAGCTTAAAAAAAAAACCAAACAAACAAAAAAACTAGAAGGCAATCTTACCTCTTAACCTCCCTTCGTCCCCTGCCTGAAGCTGCACTGTCTCCTCAGCCCTCATACCAGCACATTTGTACTCAGGGCCTTTGCATGCCTCGCATGGCATTTACCGTGTGACCTTTGCTGTGTAGCCCTCCATTTAAAATTGTTTCTCCTACAGCCTGCTTTATTTTCCTCCGTGGCAGTTATTTTCCAACATACTACATATTTTGCTTCCTTATCTTGTCAGTGGTCTGTTTCCCTGTCCTAGAACGACAACTCCCTGAAGGCGGGGACTTTTGTCTATTTTGTTCAGTGCTGGATCCTCAGCGTTTAGAGCAGGTACTCAATTATTTTTTTGCCAAGGGTGAAAGTGATGTGAGGAATTTCAGGGGGACCTGAGGTGCGGTCCAGAGTACCCCATTCTCTTGGCTTTGGTGAGAAGAACGGACAGGGGTAAGGCAGTTGAGAGGAACAGCAGAACAGCCTGTGAGGGGGATGGCAGTTGTGGGTACAGACAATGGGCTGACACACCTAGGTGAAGCTTTCTTCCATGTTGAGGGAGGTGTCAAGTGAACAAATGTAAAGCTCTTGAGTCATGTTTGAGCCCCCTCTTCATCTGCACAGCTGCTGCAAGGTGCCTTGCGCCTGGACCCAGCGCAGCCGCCACTGGGGCAGGGACAGGCCCTGGCAGAGCTCCTCTGAGAGGGCGACTTGGCCTGGCTGCTCCCACCTGGGGAAGGGGATGGTGTCAGAGGGAAGGCCTGGGCCTCCGGACCCTCACTGGCCTCCCCACCCCATGGCCTGCTTGTTGCCAGTCTCCCTCATCCCGCTCCTCCCCAGCCCCGAGTGCTGCCTGTTCCACCCAGCTCAGCCCCATCCCCCATCATATCCCCCCCTTACCAGTCCCCCACAGCTCCCTGCAGCTGGGGGATTCGCTCCAGCGCTTGTTTCAGCAGGTTCTCCAGCTGCTTCAGAGACTGCCCCAGATTCTCCTTCTGCTCCTTTTCCTGGGATGCCCAGATCTGCAGCAGCCCTGCAAGTTAAGAAGCCCAGGAGGCAGCACTGAGTCCTCTGGCTCCTTGGTGCCCTGCAGCCAATGGGTCACTATGTAAATCTCCAGTCACCTAGTCTTTTTTTTTAATTTTATTTTTTAGCTGAGCCATCCTGCCACCTGTTGGCAGCTCAGCGGCAGCTCAGCTTGGGCCGGGCATCGAACCGCTGTTGCTCAGAGCTCACACTCTTGAGGGAGCTCTTAACCACCTGAGCCACTCGGCCGGCCCTTCCAGTCACCTAGTCTTGACCTCAGCATCTCTCCCAAACCTCTCCCTCCTCCCAGGTTCTCATCTCAAGGGCAAGCACACTCCCCGCAACCCTCACCAGGCCTCATCCTGGACAGCCCCTCCCTGACAGACCGTCACTATCCATGGCCCACCCTTCAGCTTCCTCCCACTTCCCTACTCACCCCCCAGCCTCCCTTCTAGGCTGCCACTCGGCTCCATCCTCTACATGGTAGCCGAAGTGACCTTCCTGAAGCCTAAGTCTAAACCTGATCCTTTCCCTCTCCTGCTCCGAACCCTTCAACGCTCCCCAGCGTACCCAAGGCAGAATTTAATCCCCTCAGCCTAGTACTTGAAGCTTTGCATTATATGGCTGCTGCTCACTACTCCTGAGCAAAACCTCACCTACCCCCCACTCAAGATACCATCTTTCCTCCTGGACTCCCTTCCCAGCACTCTTAACCCTGAGTCTTTCTCCTCAGACTGCTACAGCCCTTCACTTCAGCGGTGTTTCCCCCTGGGGACTGTGACTAGGTCTAGTCTCTCTCCACAGGCCCCAAAGAGGCCGAGTTTGGAGCAAGTGCAGACCAGCACTGTGCTCAGACCCCTTGGGCCTGAATCCTGACTCCAACCCATCCTTGCCTGTGATCTTCAGCGTGACACTTGCCCTTTCTTCAGCCACTTCTGTGGTCAGCTCATTATCTGAGCCACAGGCTATTGAGGCATGGGGAGACTGGAGCACTCTGGAAATAGGACCCACAGGGCTTGCTGACAGGTTGAAGGTGGGGCACTAGGGGCCTGGGAGGAATTAAGGATGACTCCTGGGTTTTTCGCTTTGGCACCTGGATCAGGAGGGTCGGGTCATTTATTGAGGGAAGGAAACCAGGTCGAAGAAAAACAAAACTGCTTTGGAGCGGAGGACACTGAGTCCTGTTTAGACATGTAAAGTTCACGGTGGCCCGGAGGTCAGATGCAGCTGTGTTGGGTCTTGGCTGTTGCTGCACATCACTCACTCCCTGCCTAGTGCAGAGGGGGAAGGCAGGGAGCCCGAAACTCGAAGGCCTGAAAGTGGTCTCTTCCTACTTTGCTGATGGCACTCTTGATTCATTTGTCATCAATTCACCTCTTCTATCTATTTAATCCTTGGATTCTTTGCTCTTTGATGCTACCATCGGGACACCCCCTGGGCTGGACTGCTCTCGCCTCTCTCCCCATTGAGCTCTTGGGGCCAGCACTTGGTAGGTACCCAGTGAGTGCTTGCGGAGCAAATCTAGGGATGAATGACTTTTCTGAGTTTCAGTTTCCTCATCTGTAAACCGAAGCTTAATAACCCCTTCCTTCCCTCATGAGGAGGACTGGAAGAGACTGAGCATGTGCAGACAAAATGATCGCAATCTCCCTAGATACCCAGAGTGCTTACTGCATGCCCTTTGGGTCACCTGACTGCGTCTTCCCAGCAACTCTATAAGGTATTATTATTATGCTTACTCCACTGAGGAGGAAACTAAGGCACAGAAAGATCACAAAACAAGAGATAGTGCTGAGAAGAGGATCCAGGTAGTTTAACTCCATAGCCCAGTTTTTAACCGCTCAAGTATACTATTGGATGGTGATGAAGGAGTACTTGGCAATTAGATGGGCAGTGTCACCTGAGCACACACCCATCAGGAGTCAGACTGCTTGGATTCAAATCCTAGCTCTGCCATCTGGGCAGCTACCAAGGCCTCTGTGTCCAGGTCCTTCCTCTGTAAAACGGGGAGATTGGCAGCACTAAACCCTGGGGCTGCTGTACAGATGAAACTAGTGAACATGCTTAAAGCACAGAAGGCTCTGCGTCAGCGGTGGGTGTTGTGATTCGTTCTGGAGGCTGATGGTCCTGGGAATGAGCAGGGTTGCTAGATATGGAAGCAGGGCAGGCCTACCCTGGGTGGATGGTCCTGGTGGTAGGCTGGTCTTCATGTGGAGAAGATCCCAGCACCGGAGACTCCGCTGGTCCTGGAGGAACAGAAGGTCCTGGCGAAGAGAGGCGGCCTTCGGGAGAAGCAGCTCTGGAGCCTGGAGGGAGCGGGGAGGGACAGTCACCTCGGGAGGGGTAGCAGTGGGAAGACAGGTCCTAGGGGACAGGTACTCACCTTCCCTGTAGGCAACCCCAGCATGTGGCCTAGCACTATGAGGCTGGAGCCCCTTGAGGACGCAGGATGCAGCTGGTGGATGGATGGTAGGACCGTGGGCAGGGGCTGCAGCCTTCAGGGAGAGTCCAGGTTGGGTGAGACATTGAGAGGGAGGCTTGGTTCCAGAAGCTTTGGGGGCTAAGAGGTGGGCTCGGGAGGCCCAGGGACTTGGATGTGGGTCTGGGGACTAGGATTTCAGAATAGGGCTGAGGACCTGAGGGTGAGGTCTGGCAGCCTGGGAAAAAGGGGTGTGGGATTGTTTTTGGAGTGGCCCAGGGACTGACAGTCATCCAAGAGAGGGGATGTAGGGGGTGGTCCTGGTCTCACCCTCCGGGGCTGTGCCGAAGCAGGGTGCCCAGCAGAAGGTGGGGCAGATGTCGGGCCTCCTCCTCCAGACAGTGAAGCAGCTCCTGGCTCTGTGGTGCCACTGCCTCAGATGTGGGGGCCACTTTTCGCTGAACCAGAGCCAGCACCTGTGGGGAAGAAAAGGAATGGGAGGGACAGCCTGAGGCCACCCAGCCCCATCCTCAGGAGACGGCCCTACCCAGACCTCGCTCCAAATCCCAACTCACCTCCCCGGGGCTCCGGCACAGGTGTGTCTTGCTGGCTGAGTTGCCCTTGATGAGCAGGCGGACCTGTTCCTGTGTTGCCTCCTGGACAAGCAAAACAAACTGTTTTTCCTTCCAACCTCCCAGCCTCTGGCCCTGCCCTCCCCTTTGCACAGGTCCTGCTTCCTCTTGGGAGACTCACCCTGAGCCTCTCCCCTAGACCAGGAGGCTCAGTTCTGGATCATAAGGCTCCCCAGCCTCACTCTCGCCCTCTACCAGGCCCTGACATTTCTCCCAGAGTCCCACTTCTCACCACCAGCTGGCGCCAGTGCAGGATCCGTTGCTGTTTGGCCTGTAGCTCCTGCAGCAGAAGCTGCCGCTGCACAGCAGCCTCCTCCAGCTCGTGGCTCTGGGTACATAGGGCCTTGAGCTTTGCCCACAAGCCACAGCTCTGGAGCTCCAGCAAAAATGCCTGCCTGGGGGACAAGCAGGAGAGAGCAAAGAAGAAGAAGGTGACTAAGACTCACAGTGGAGAAGGGCAGATAAGATCTGTAAGGAGCCACAAACACAGAGAGAGCATGGAGGCAGAGAGGGAGCCACAGGGGCAGAAAAAGTCCAATATCCCAAGACCCAAAGGAGAGAGATGGCCCAGAGGCCTCTGCCCAGGGAGCCCCCTCACCTCTCGCTGGATCCCGGGGTACATCTCTCCATCTCCTCCATCAGGCTCTGGAGGTGCCGGGTCAGAATTTGATGCTCCTCCAGGAGGGGGCCCCGCTGGGTGACCAGCGCACCCACAGTCCGCCAGCCCTCCTGTGGCAGGGGTATAAAGTCAGGGTGGGTATCGTCCCTGAGGGTGAGGGGATCAAGTGGGTCTTGGGATGGGAAGGGGGTGGAGTCTAGGAAGGGTACCTGCGGGTTACCTGGATGAGATGCACCATGGATGGCAGGGCCTGGCTGGAGTCTGACTGTTCTGGTACCTGGGACCTAGGGATGGGGTGAAACTGCTGAGGGGCCCTGTCTCCTTGCTTGGACCTTCGAGGGTAGCCAATGTCAGCCCACCTGGGTTTGGTCCCCGGGTTTTAGTTCCATCCCCATGAGCAGGTCCTGACCCTGTCCCAGCTCACCCAACCACCCGCCCTGCCTGACTACAGATGCACTCCACTTCACACCTGGCTATCTCTGTATCTTGGAGCCCGTCTGGACTGCACAGGGACCGGATCTCTGCCTCCCGCTCTGCAGCCAGGTGCTCCAAGGCGGCCAAGACATGGCCTGGAGGGTGGTTTGTCAGCAGTGTCTAGTTGAGGGAGGGGTGAAGTCAGGGCAGAATAGGGGCAGGGCTGTGAGCTCGGACCCCATGGGGACAGGGCAGTGATAATCAGGTCCTGGCACCCTGAGGTTTGATCATGAGGCAGTGGGTGTGGCCTTTTCTGAGAGTCCTCCTCACCTCTACTGAGCTAAGCCACTGCTGGTAGGAAGTTCCAAAGTGGTCATCTTGAGGGGTTCTGTGGGGTTGGGGGAGGGGACAGAGAATGTTATAACACACATCTATATTACCACCAGTCTACAAAGTGGGAGCTGTCACTGCCCCCAATTTACAGATGAGGAAACTAAGTTTATCTATGCTGGCTAGACTTGAGTTCCCCACTTATACCAACTTGCTGGTCTTGGGCCCTTTCACATGGGCTGCTTGCTTGGAAAACCCACTGAACCTTTTACCCTTGCTAAGCCTCCTTACCAGAGAACCCATCCTTCTTTTTTGTTGTTGTTGTTTTTAAGATTTTATTGGGGAATTGGGGAAGGGGAACAGCCAAGTTGTTGTCCTTCAGTCTTAGCTGTGGAGGGCGCAGCTAGCTCAGCTCCAAGTCCAGTCACCATCCGGCCGCCTGTCGGGGGCTCAGGGCAGCTCAGCTCAAGGTGCCGTGTTCAATCTTAGTTACAGGTGGGCATAGCCCACCATCCCATGCGGGAGTCTAACCAGCAATCTTGTTAGGAGCATGTGCTCTCACCAGCTGAGCCATCCTGCCATAGCCCTAACCACATGGGTCATCACTGTCTGTGATGGGTCTGTTTCCACCTCTTCCTAGCCTGGGAGCCCTGTCAGGGCAGGCCCTGGGGCCGACACAGCTCAGAGGCCCAGTGTTTGAGGAAATGAACAGCCAAGTAACTTCTCCCAAAGCCCAAGTTCTTTGCAGGGTTTCTGGGAGCTGGGGGACACTCACAGGATGCTGCCTCCTTTGGCCTGAGGAATCAGGAGGTTCTGCAGGAACTGGGTTCGGAGAGTGCAGGCTGTTCGGACATCACCCTGGGAAGAGAATGGGGCATGAGGAGGCCCCAGGGGTCCACCTGACCCCTGACTCCCCACCCCTTCCCCCATGATGACCCAGGACTCTTACCAGGACCACAGGCTCCAGGCCCAGGGCTGCTGACGTCAAAGGTCCAAAGGTTATATCCACTTTGGCCTTCCTGGAGAGAGAAGTGCAGTTGGGGTTGGGGTCCCTGGAAGGAGGGGGCTAGGAGAACAGATGTCTGTGTCCCCTCCTGCTGCCAGCAAAGCTAGTCACAGGGATCACTGAGCCTGAATCTCAGGGGCCATGTCCACAATTAGGCCACTCTCATCTCCTGGCTATATTAGCCTTCTCACTGGTCTCCCTGCTCTCGCCCCCTTCAGTCTGTTCTCCACACAGTAGTTAACGATCCTGTTAAAACCTCAAACAGATCATGTCACTGTTCTGTGCAAAACCCTCAAAGACAATGTGATATGTTCTCATCACCTTCAGAATAACAACAATGGGTAACAAACTTTTCTAAGCACTTTGCATGATTTAACTCAATTATCACACCTACCTTATAAAGCAGATAATATTATCCCCATTCTACAGATCTTAGAAACCGAGGCACAAATTTTACCCAAGGTCACACAGGTATAAGCGGCCAAGCCAGGGCATGAACTCAGCCTCAGAGTAGAATTCCCATGCCTCCATGGTGCTTTGTCCACCTTTCCAACCTCACCTCCTCATGCTGTCCCCCTTGCCCAGTGAAACTTAAGCTGAACTGCCCTCCTGGCTGGTCTTCAGACATGCCAAGCTCAGGGCCTCAGATCTTGCTGTCCCTCTTCATGGAAATTCCCTTCCCAACTCGAATGTCACCTCTTCAGAGAGGCCTTCTCTGACTGTTCTACTAGAGTAGCATCTCCCTCTTACCTTCTGTCATATCACCTTTTCCTCGTAGCACTTATCTCTACTTGTAATTATAGGGTTTGTTTGCTTCCTCGTTTACCATCTGGCTCCTCTGCCTCAGAGTGTAAGCTCTCCGAGGGCAGGGTTACTTGTTTACTGTTCTTTCCCAACACTGGTATTCCAGATATACAGTTGGCACCATTCTAGCCACTGGAAATACAGGTGGTTGAGATGATAAAACTTCCTGGCCTCATGGACTTTAAATCCTAAGGAGTGGAGCTCAGACATTTGGAACTCAAGAAGGGGTCAGGGCAGAGTACTGGGGTCTCTAAGGAAAATGTCTGTCTACCCCGCCTGGTGATGGCTGGTTCCTGGGCACCCAAGGCCCACCTCTCTATGTCCTGCAGGCCTCTGAGCTGATTCTGTAGCCACTGCACGGGATGTTGAAGCTGACGTTGCTGTCTTCGCATGGCCCTAGCTTGTGCCCGGAGGAGGAGAGCACGCCGCTGGGTGTCTTGTATGCCCTGCAGCACCTGCTCCAGGGCCATGTCTGTGGGAGGAACGCGGTGGCCATTAGTACTTCCCTAACCTCCATTCTGCTTCCCATCCGTCCAGCCCCACGAGTCACCCTGAGCCTCGGTCTCTCGATCCATCAGCTCCAAGCTCTGGTCTAACTCTTGGATCTCTGCCTGCAGGTGGGCAACAGCAGCTTCCAGCTCCAACTTCCGACAGGCCTGGTGGGATCAGGTGCAGGGTCAGATGCATGGCCCGGCCGGGGCTCAGCCTGGCCTGACTGTCCTTTGTGGAGCACCAGTCTCCTCACTTGCCCAGGCGGGTGGGTAGAAGGTTTTTCCTCAGCTGTTAATGTATCTGAATCTCTAGGCCCAGAAGAGCACTAGAGAACTATCCTGGCCCTCCTCCTTCCTCCTAGAATTATACCAGCCTCCCAACCTATTTCCTGTCTCTGTACTGATGACATCTCTGTTCCAGTCCTCATTTCCCCAGGAGCGCCACATCTAGGAGTCCTGAGGTCTCCTGGAAGCCTCCCACTAGATGTCATCTGGGCTCCTTGCAAACACTGGGTCCCACGCTGGCCTCAGTATCTCTCCCAAACTAGCCCATTCTCCCATCTATCCTCACCAGCTTTGGTGCCTCATATCCATGCCCTCCCACCCCCAGCTCTTGACTGTCTCCCTCTGGACTGTAAACCCTGAGTGCACGGATTGGGGCTGTCTTGTGATTCAGTGCCCCCAGCATCACCCAACACAAGCCTGGGCCTAGAGCAGAAGATCTACAAGTCCTCTTTCTGATGAAAGAAAATCTTGTAGCACATGCTTCTCACCTCTGGACTGCACTGGTGGCCATACCTGAGGAAATGAGGCCAGAGTTAGGGGATGACAGGGGCTTCCAGGGTGAGGCTGTAGGTGGGGACAGGGCTGGATGGGACTGGGGAAGATAGGAAGGGATAGCTTTGAGAACCAGTTACCAGAGTAGGTTTCCCCGGACCTTCTTGACATTTCTGCAGTGGAGAGGTAGGAGGAAGAAGAGTTACTGTGGGACTTGCCTGTGTCCCCTCCCCTACCACCGCCTCCCTCACGCAGCCAGGCTCACCTCTGGCTGTGCACATGCCGCAAGATGTAGGCCCAGATGTCAGCGCCCTGGCCCAGACACAGCCTGTGGGGACACCACACAGGGAAGAGGATCCTCATTCTCAGGGTGGTGGGGAAGGTCTTTCCTAGGGAATCTCACTTCTCGGGGGAGGGAGGGTTCACACTTTTGGGGGTAAGATAGTCCCACCTGGGTGGGTCACTGAGAGGGTGGGCTTCTCACTGGGCGTGGGGATATTTCATTCCCTGGGGTGGGGGTGGGGTGCTCCCTTTCTCCTGGGAGAGGATCATTTCCAGTTACTTCCAGAGGTGGGGGTGGCGGTGGGGGGAGGTCTATTGCCGGGAAGTACTTTGGTTACTGGATGTGGGCCATCACTCCTATAGATTCAATCTCGAATGAGTTTGCTGACTCCAGGGTGTCCTCACTGGCTGGGGTGGGTAGTGGGTAGGTGACGTGCTGCAGGGACAGCCTTACCCAGGAGATCCTATTTAAACACCACACGGGAAGGGGGCTTCAGTAACTCATGGACGACCGTCACTGGTAGTGGGGACCTCGCTCTGGGCGGTCTCAAGGGTGGGGGTGGAGTGTGGGGGTTACTGCCAGGACGTCCTCACTCAAGTCCACTATTCTCTTCCTGGATAGATACTACACAGGAGGTGGTGGTGGGGCGCGCGCCCTTAGGGGTTATTCTCACTGGGGCGGAGCAGGAGGAGCCCCATCTTCAGTCAAAACGGGGTTCTCCCAGAGACACTATCTCCAGGATCTCCCAGAGCGGCCCTCACCTGCGCAGCGTCGACTCGGGGGCTCGGGCTGCCACGGGTGCCTCCATCTCTTCGGCCGCCCAGCAAACCAGTGCCCGCACTTCCTGCACTAACTCCATGACAGTTACTCGGCCGCCACCGCTTCCCGCACCCTCTTCAAGCTTGGCGCCCGGCTCTGACGTCACCAGCGCGCCGACAGTGACATCATCGGTTGCCCGGCAGACGCGGGCCTCCGGGCTTTGCAAGGGTCTCGGAGCTGCCTGCATCTCTCACTCATCCAAAATGGGTCGCGATGAAAGAAGATGGCGGGGGCGTGGAAAAGCGGTGGGGCTCACTTACTTTTTGTGTCCCCCTTCTCACTACCAGCTCTGTTCCCTATGAGGTAAAACGTCCCTATTGCCTCTCTTGATTTTCTTGACAAAATGGGACTTTCTTTCTAGAAGGATGAGAACCAGAAGAGGAGATGCCAAACTTACTGCTCTTGTCGCAGGTCTGAGCAAGGGATAACATGACCCTAATATCTCCCTGGCATGCTTTCTTCCAGATTCCTTTGTCCTTACCATTCCATAACATTCCTGACCCCTGTGCTGGAGTCACCGCAGTGGCTGAGACAGCCCCAGTCTCCATGCTAGGGAGCTCACAGTTCAGTGGGGGACATAGACGCATCACCAGATAGGGATGGTAGAAAATAAGCAGCAGGGTTTTCTCAATTTGGGACACAGGGAGTGTAAGAGGTCTGTGGGGTGCCCCAGAAACACTGGATACTAGGGCTGGAGTTCTGGAGAGCCCAGTCAACCTCAGATGGAGCCCTGAAAAATGCAATATTCAGGGACCTTTCATTCAACATGCTTGCCTAGGTCACCACTCTGTCTTCAGTGTCCAGTGCAGAGCCTGATTCTCTAAATAGTTGTTGAATAAACAAATAGGGAGTGGGGTGGGGCACATGGTGGAGTGACACTAAAGCTGGGAACCCAAGGAGGAGTGTGGGGTCAGGAGCAGGAGTGGGGGCCTAGGACAGTGCTGGACAACAGTAGGGCTATGGAGCAGATAGGAGGAGACTGAGTGTATGGGGTTGATTGGCTATAAAGGGGGCTCATTCAGCATGAGGTATAGGGCTCTGGGTTGGGCATTAGTTGAAGCAGAGCTTGAAATGGGGACTGTAACCATCTGGTGATATATTTGTCTTCCACTCTGGTTTATAAGTTATGAGGGGGTGCAGTTGGAACTTAAGCGGTGACTATTATGTCCCTAGAGTCAGGTAGCATAGTCAAGGCCCTTGGTCAACATAAAAATAGATTTTTGGCATGAATGCTGGCAGGAGGGGAGGCTGCCCAACCCTGTCTCTCTCTCTCTTTTTTTTTTTTTTTTTTTTTTTTAGCTGAGCCATCCTGCCACCTGTTGGCAGCTCAGCGGCTGCTCAGCTCGGGCCAGGAATCGAACCACTGTTGCTCAGAGCTCAAACTCTTGAAGTGAGCTCTTAACCAACTGAGCCACTCGGCTGGCCCCTCTGCCCCTCCAACGCTGTCTCTTATGGCCCCCATTTCTTGGTAGGGTCCCAGGGTTGGTCTTGAGCTCTGTTCCAATGGGCTGCCTGAACTACCACTTCCTTCCACCATCAACCACCTCAAATTGCTGGCTCAAGTTGACAACACTTGGCACTCTAGACATTGAGGAACAGGAGTCCCACTTGGCACAACTGAATACTTAGAGCCAGGTTAATTAACACAGTTGTATATATTTGTTGGTTTGTTCATGAACTGAAGAGGATGTTACCGAGAAAATAAGTCCATCATGTAGAAAATCAAGAGGAGGAATATGATGAGGCTTCCCATAACAATCCCCAACACCGCAATGTAGAAGACTTGGTGGGATGTCTCAGCTGCCAAGGCTCGTTCATTCCATTTGTTACTGTGCCTTGTCTGATTTGAGGGGAGAGGTACAACAGGGATAGATGGACTTAAACAGGATTGTGTGGGAGTAAACCATGGAGCTGTATGGATGTACGGTGAGGACCTGAACCCAAAGGAGGGAAGCAAGGAAGAATATGAGTCAGGATTATGGCCAGGATGGAGAGGGAAAGGAGAGCAAGGATTGGCATGATGCAGATGCCCACCTGGACAGAGAAGATCAAGGCTACAATGCCTATGGGAAAACACAGGAATAAGGCCAAAATCGATAGGCACATGTAGTCTTTGGGGGGTTTGTCAGGCAAAATTTCAAACACCTGGGGAAAGAGAGAGGGTTATGACTTAGTATGGCTTCTGGATTCCACCATCCCCTCTGACTTCCGTTTTCACACTAACACATCTCTCCTTGTCTCCTATAAATTCTTCATTGACCCATCCTTTAAAACTCATTGACTATCTAACTCCAACCATGTCCCTTCTAACCTCTCCCTATCCCTGTTAATACCTCCCTGTCCCCTAGAACTCCCAGCCCCCACCTGTCCCCATGCCCTATAATGCCTGTCTGTAACCCTTTCCCTGTCTCCTATGACCTCCTCTATAACTGCCTTGCAGACCTCTACAGCATGTCTCTCTTGGCTTCTTCTACTGTCCACTGTCCGCACCCCACCGCCAAATCCCTTACTGACTCTTATGATTCTCACTTGTGCTTCCCGAAACCTCAACTACCGCACTTTGTTCCTATAACACCCTCACTGTCACCCAATCAACCTTCTCTTTGCACCTATAAAAAAACCCTACTAAAGGGCCGGCCGCGTGGCTCAGTTGGTTAAGAGCTCGCTCAAGAGTTTGAGCTCTGAGCAACAGTGGTTCGATTCCTGGCCCGAGCTGAGCAGCCGCTGAGCTGCCAAAAGATGGCAGGATGGCTCAGCCAAAAAACAACAACAAACAAACAACAAAAACAAAAACACCCTACTAATAAGACCCTCACTCAATACTTTAGCACTCTCACTTTTCATCTGTAAAACCTTCATTGTCCCTTATAAAACTCTCAACCTATGAAACTCCTAATGTCGTCTATAGTTCTCTGCTTGTCCCGTTTATAATATCCCTCACTTTGTCCCTACGAACCTGGCTGATCCTGCTAAACTCTCCCCTCCTCAACCCCACTCCATAAGCTGTCACTAGGCTCCTCTAGCACCTTCCTTGAGCACCTGTGTGATAGTGGATCAGTTGAGGTTTCAGGCACCCAAAGAAAATATTTGTAAATCACATATCTGACAGAGGACTGTATCCAAAATATATAAATGACCCTCAAAACCGTAATAAAAACTTGAGCACCTATAAATTCTAAGTCCTTCTCGTGTCACTCAGCTTTTCTCTGTTCCTTTATAAAGGCCTGCCATTCTTCCCTCTAAGACAAGCTCTCTACCTCTCCAGCCAGCTTCCTGACCCTTTGAACTCCTTTTGCATCCACGTATTACATCCTCCCAGTTCTCTTAAAGCTGTGCTCCCTCTAAATGCTTCTCAACTTATAACACCCTCTTTCCCAGCTTAGGAAGCCCTCTTTGCCCCCTCATTCCCCCTTTAACTGCTTCCCAACTGCCCCTCTCCCCATCTCTCCATTAATTCCCTCCCTGTCCCCTGAAACACCCTCATTAGGGCATCTGGATCTGGCTACACGGAGCCTCTCCCTCACTTCAACCCGCTGGTGATTACCATGGAGACCATGCAGGCCCCGCCTCCTATCCTGGATGTTTACATCTATTGGCTGGTTGGAGGTTGTCTGTGCTATGGAAGGGAATACTCTCCTGACTGCTGATTGGTTTGATGGCCTGCCAGTCTTTCTTATACCCTTGGGTGATTGATCAATCCAGGGAGTTGTTTTTATTACAGTTTAGTTTTGAGGGTCATTTATATATTTTGGATACAGTCCTTTGTCAGATATGTGATTTCTCTGGGTCCCTGAAACCTCAACTGATCCACGCTCACCCTTTGTTCCTATAACACCCTCATTGTCACCCAAGCAACCTTCTCTTTGCCACTAAAAAACACCCTATTAAGAAGACCCTCACTCAATACTTTAACACTCACTTTTCATCTGTGAAACTTTCATTGTTTCTTATAAAAGTCTCACCCTATAAAACTTCTAATGTCATCAGTAGCTCTGCTTGTCGCATTTATAATATCCCTCACTTGGTCCCTGTGAATCTGTCTGGTCCTGCTATGACTCTTTATTGTTCATCCATAAACTCCCCCATAACTTCTTACCTGGTTCCACTAAGACCTTCTTCGAGCACTTATAAACTCGAAGTCCTTCTCATGTCACTCATAGCCTTTCTCTGTCCCCTTATAAAGGCCTTCTCTAAGGCCTTCTCTCTACCTCTGCAACCACCTTCCTGACCTTTGAACTCCTGTGTCCACCTAGTACAGCCTCCGATTTCTCTGAAACTTGTGTTCCCTCTAAATTCTTCTCTACTTATAACACCTTCCCTGCCCTCTTATGAACCCATCCTTGACCCACATTCCTCCTCTATCCCCACTAAGCTCTTTCTTCCACCCTCTCCCCCTCAAAATCCACCCCCCTCCCTTCAGGCACCCACATTAGTGCATATGGATTTGGCGCTACATAGAGCTTCTCCTTCACTTCAACCTGGCAGGGATTACCATGGAGACCATGCAGGCCCCGCCTCCTATTCTATCTTCCCACTTCTATTGGCTGGTTGGAAGTTGTGCATGATAGGATGGGGAAGCCAATACTCACATGGCCGCTGATCCGTTGGAAGGAATTCAGGCTCTTTCTACTCTCTCAAGCTCTTGATCTGATCATTCTGGGAGTGTTTGTGTGTGTGTGTGTGTGGGGGACACCATTAGGGCAAGAGTGATATGGGCCTAGGAGTCTTGGATTGCTTTAGGTACCTTGAGAGAAGGCATTTAACAAGTTGTAGTCAGATTATCTAGCAGTGGAGGGTGATGTCTGTGAGAATTAACACCTTTTCATGTGCTTATTTGCCATCTGTATATCCTTTATGGTGAAGAGCTAGTTCAAGTCTTTTGCCCAATAAAAAATTGGTTTGTTTTAAACAAACTCATAGATACAGCCAACAGAATTTTGGTTGTCAGAGGGGTGGGGGTGGGGAGAGAACAAAATGGGCAAAGGAGGTCAAATATATGGTAACAGAAGGAAACTAGACTTTGGGTGGTGAGCATTCAATAAAGCAAACTAATGTCATAGTATAATGTTGTACACCTGAAATT